ATACTCCTATTGCAGCCACTTTTCAATAGTACGTGTGTGAAGCATGCATGGTCTCGATCGCATGCAATTAGCGCAACCGCGCGCCATGTGATGCGAGCAAGCAACATAAAGCGACGGATCTTGCTTTCATCGATGGCCAGCCTCTTACCACCAGTGATCCATCGATCATCCACGACGACGATGATCTCGCATCGCATGCATGCTCATCTTTAATTAGCCTTGCCTTTGCGCTTTTGCTTGTGAGTTGTGATCTCTCGCGGATCGTTCCGGACCCAACACGCACCTTTTCCGGATGTATGCATGAGATGCGCACATGAAAAGCCACTGTCGTTCCAGACGACTTTTACAAATTAAACCGACGGATCTCCTTCCAACGTAAAAAATAATCACAGGGCCGGGGGGTCACTGACAAGTAGACAACATCTGCCACGTTATTACTAATGTGTGCTACGTTTGATACTTTGATCTGACCTAACAAACACCGAAATGTTTTTGCCCTGGACTAGGCACAATTTATACCATGCCTTAATTAAGGGTTTGTTTGGCATGGTTCCTTCTCTTAAAGTGTTTAGTATAGCTCTTCCGCAAAAGCCGTTGCCAGAGAGCCATGCCAAACAGGCCCTAAGTATATACAATTTGACATTTTGACTGAACATGGCTAGAGTGTATGTTTGCATGCCTTAGCTCTCGCTGGCACATAATGTTTAAGCAGCAGTGCACCACAAAACCTTTGCGCCTACTTGAGGACCTATGTTTCGAGAGAAGACTTTTATTCATTATTATCTGTAATTCGTAAAATATGTGATGATGCATCATATTTTGAAATATTTTCCTTCAAAACGTGGCTTGCAAACAAATTCATCCTAATAACACATGTTTTACTTTTAAGTCCAGTCACACAAAGGTCATATCATCGTCGCATATATAACTATAAGTCAAACACCATATTCGACAATCGTAGGACTTAGGGCCCGCTTTGGAGGGTGCTCCATCTGGCTCCGACTTTAACGCTATAGTAGTACTATAGCGGAGTTGGCGGAGCCTCAAAATCGTGGCTTCAGGAGCTCATCCTCTTTCGCCATTGTTTTTGCGATAGGCAGAGTCGTTTTTTCCACTATGTATAGCGAAGCACGGTGCCGCACAGTACCCACGTAGAGGAGCCGGAGCTCTAAGGAGCTAAACCATACAAGCCCTCAAGTTCGATGAGTGGTTTAACCATTTAATACTCACGTCTATCTCTACTGCGAAAACATCTGGCCTCTCAACAATCGATCCTTACTACGAGCCATTAAGGGGTCGGGTGCCTGAACTGATTTTGTCTCCTTCTGCATAGCTCAAGCAGGGAGCTAGAGGGGGGCTTATGCCCCTTTGCCTCCATGTTGGATCTGCCTTGACGTCTCATCTAGCAAGATATGGTCCTGAATACATAGTCTCTGTCATGCCCAACTCAGCAATCAACCCTATGGTCTTATCATTAGTCCAGTTGGGGAGGCGTGGATGGTAGCAGAGGAGAAGGCATCGGGCATGGTGAGGAGGTGCAACTGCTGACGGAGGGGAAGGAATCAAGGAGGAGGAGAGGCGGGGTTGAGGTCGGGGAGGGAGGGCGGAGTAGAGAGAGAAGCGGTGAATAGGGACCAAACTAAGAGCAAAGAGGTTGGAGAGTTGTCAAGGGGCCTGGGCCCTGCCCTCTATAGAAGACCATAGCACTATTATGGGGTGCTTGAACTGACTTCCTTCCACATATAGTTCAAGTAAATGGGGTTGAGCCCCTTCGCCTCCACATTGGATCTACCTTTTCCCCATAAATACTCAAATATAATTAAAACTTTAAAGCATGGTACAATGGATTGGGAAATCAATTCCTAGGTTACAAGTCTATACCATCTTAGCTACAAAGATGGAATCAAAACATAGACTCTTATAAAGATGCTCATAGACAGGGAGATAGAGCAGACTAATAAGCTGAAATCCACACATTTGTATCTTCAGACATAGGTGATGTCTTCTTTAGGGACACCGAACCAAGAGAGATGTGGTCCTCACCCTCGTTTGGTGCACATGGATCTCACAAAAAACAACATCTCTCCAATACCTATGATGATCATGTGAAATATATAGTAACCACGCTAACATTGAGGTTTGAAGCGCAATTCACAAGCACGAGCGTGCCAACACTTTGACAAGCGCCGTTCTCGTACCTTGACGCTTGCTCCTTAGTCCTTATGCGTGAATCTTCTTCTTTTTGGATCCCTTGTCCCAAGCATGGCTGATAACTCTTGGTCCACTATACTTAAAGAACGATCCACTATATTACAACCATATATTTAATTGTATTGATTCATTTTCAGCCTTTGTCAAACCTTTAAATTTATTTTCACCGGTACAACCTAGCTAGCCTCCATCCATTTACTTTCTTGCGCACCAGTGGCGGAGCCACCGCCACGCCACCAGTGCCGTCGGCGATTTTTAATAGAAAATTTCCTTTATACCAAAGAAGGGGACTCTAATTTACTAGCTAAATTCTTTTTGCATAGTGAAGATTGTCCAGGCTTCTAAGAGTTTCTGGCTCCGCTAATGTTGTGCACACATGTACTCGGTGGCAAAAGGAAGGGAGGTTCGACACCCCCAGCATTTTTGTCTCATATTGTAACCCCCCTCAATTATCTATTTAATATTCCAATTATCTAGTTAGTGTTGCTATTTATGCTTTTGTTCATTGTCCTCTCTAATAGCATCTTATATATCTAACTAAGAATTAGGTCTTCTATTGTTTTCTACATCTCTTTTGTTCTTTTTATTATTGTCTACTAAACATCTAGTTTGTCCCCCACGTTACATCATTTAATTAGCTAGTTAATTGTCATTAGTGCTTTGCTTGTTTTCTCCCTCTGAAATAATATGCAATGACATCTATATTATTTGAGATTAGCCTTCTTATTATCTTCATTATCTCCTTTGTTACTATTATTACCGTGATTCTTTTTTCTGGCCTAATAATTAGATCGATCATGTGAAAGTTAGAGACTTAAGACTAATTAATTTAATTTCCTTTTTCTTCATATTATTCAGTGCTCTTTTAATTTGCTCTGCACTTCTTTTGTATCATAACACAAACGTTAACTATGTATCTTTTATCGCGTATATATTTCGTCATGTATGATTGTTATTGGTTTGAACAGATCCCTTATTATATCTAAATCTTGGCCTCACCCTGTATATAATACATTTTTTACATAGATAAAAAATGAAAGGAATAAGAATAATAGATTGGTGATTGGTGAAGATACACATACACAGCATGAGGATCCGAGGCTCGAAGATGCGGTGGAAAGGTTGGGATGATATGGACGGCCGCGGCGGGTGGAAAAGCGTCGAGGGAGCAGCAAGCTGCAATGATGGGTGCCTACGTGTGCGCGCGTGGCGCACAAGCCCCGCCGAGAACGGCACTTCTCCGCTGCTTTCTATGCCCAGGTGGGCCACATGCTGCACAACAGTCCAGTCCTTGTAGTGGGCCCACGTCCCTACTGGGCTTCGTTCCACATGAGCATCCGTGGGCCCTGGACCCACCACTGCCGTTTCCTTCGGTTTGTAGGTCCTCAGTCACCTCGTGTGAGAGTTGAGCAGGATTTCTATAGGACAGCAAACACACTTTCTGAATCTCGCAATGCTACACCCTGAAAACGCTGCCTCTATTTTCGCTTTTGCAAGCATATCAATATGCCACCTTTCAACCCTGTAATAGCATTCGTTCATGTAATGCACGGCCGTCTATATTTTCCTCTAAAAATAGTACAACTTCGAACCAAATTGCTGTTTGAAAGACAACAAAAAAGGAAGAGAGAAAAAAGGCCCTAAATCATCCAAATCGGAACGTCGGCACGAAACACACAAGGGTGTGCAGCCTTTCGCGACACGGGTCCCTGTCAGCTGTACTGTACTGTACCACTGTGAGCTCGCCGCTCATCAGTGCTCTCCAGATTTATATTTGTATTTATATATATATACTCGTAGAAAAAAGAAGGAATTCGTTGCACAGTCAGATCTTATGATTCTTCTGAAAAGACTGGGAAACAAGACAGCTTATTTTGTCACACATGTCTATTTTTCGAAAAAATGGTCACGCAATGTTTGTAGCATGCACAAAATAGAATCTGTCCATTTTGTTGTTCTTGTCAGCTGAACTCGAAGAACAGAACACGAGGTATCTGAAGCTCCGGTGGCCACTCCATGGTGCTGATCTCCGGTGGCCACCGCGTGGTCAATCATCCATGGGCGCCGGGCCGCCGGCCAATCATTCCGCCGCCTGGTTGGTGAGGCCGGCCCGGCGCCGGCAGCCCGGCACGGCGGCACCCCATCTGCTTGGTGCTGCTTGGTGGCGCCCATGGCTCACATGCTCCCAGGTTTGTCTCTTTGGGACAGGGACATGCATCTGCATGCGTAAGGCCTGATTGGCACACACCTGCCCCCGTGTTGTTCCCGTCGTCTGAGCTGTTTGCGTTGCCACAGCACGTTGCTGCCACTGTTCAGGGGACACGGGACACATCATCTCCTCTCTGGCCTTGCCACCGGGCAACCTCACCTCATGGGCATGAATGAACATCAACTGATGCATCGCCCTCCAACAGGGTTGCAGTGTGAGGTTCCATGAATCTGGGCACTCTTTGACAATGGCACAATGCCACATAACATGGATAATATCAGGACATGGCACCAGGAACTCCCATTGTACAAAAATGAGAATGTCAACAGATCAGTGGCATCAAGCACTTCAGAACAGGTTCATGATTTACTGTAATTTTCTAACTGAAATCATAATGAACTTATTACTGCTAACCATAGGCAGGATTTCAATATAACATGCACCATAAATTAGCACTAGGTACATACATCGGTCCAGAACTCAACTCATTGTCAAACTAGGCATTATATATCTACAGTACAGCACAGCATTATTAAGTATACGCCGACGAAAATTTCTCACGCTATCCCTAGCTAGCTAGCTAGACAAGGCTCTTCATCTTACGCCTCAGCCACATTGGCCTAATATCTACACTCAGCGAGAGGAAAATCTCCCGGTTGCTCGCGTCCAAGAAGACGTCGGGCGCCAGCGACTTCTCGACCGGCGACAGCTCCGCCATGGCGCTCATCACCTCGATGCACCGCGGGATGCTGAACCTGTTGTCCCCATGGATCTCTGGCTTCTTCTCTCTCTCGGGGCGATGGCATGGGCTTCCATAGCATCGGAGGTCCCGTCCTCGCTGGGCCTCCTGGAGAAGCGCCATATTTCTCCGCTGCGGTTCCTCGACTGGCCTCCTGGAGGGCTGCCAGGAGGATGGCTCGGGGACGCACCTGAGCCAGTGGTTTAGGGTACAGGTGTCCGTTCATGGTCTGGACTTGACGCCGACTAGAGTCTCCTGTTGGAATGAAGACTCCCTGGACACTGGAGACGGAGGGATTGGGGAGAGTTGTCTGCTGATGTAGAAGTCATCTTCGTCGTCGCTTGAGTCAACTTCAGTCCCATTTCTTTCCTGCAGTATAGGTGCAGCAACACTGCTTTTACCATCCAAAATAACGCCAACTGCAGAATAAGAATGAGAAATATCTTAGTATCAGGAACAGGTTCAAATTGCACATTGAAATCATATCTTATCCCATTAGTTAACAAATACCAAGCAAGCCATCATCTGTTAAAAAAACATACATGTTACTCTTTATCCGAACAAAAATAGGTGGTACAAGCTATTCAGGAAGACAGCATAACATATCAGGTTAACTTCAAGATATCCAAAACTACCAGCCAAAACAAAACAAGCTATTCAGGAGGCTACGAAAACACTTCAAATGAGGGCTTCTTTCTATGGCCCTGAAAAGTTTACCCTCCCTTATTTCACCCAAGGTTCAACTATCATCCCCCAAAATGACACTCCTATCCAACTGTTCATTTTTCTTCTTAATGGTGTTAAGTGTAGTTTAAAAGGACAATTTTGCTCCGAGGTAGAAAGTGTTCAGTTTGTACAGTATATCAGGTCTCTATATGTTGTTCTCAAATAAAGATCACACCAAGATTATGTTGCGAGATACCAACTATGAATATGAGATATATTTAACACGAATTGATATTTTAGAGTGGAAACTCAAATGTATGTTTCCATTTCAAAACGTCCAACAGCAGCATAGAAAGAGTACATGCATATTGCGTATTGCCAGATTTCAGAACTTTTGAGCTTAAATAAACATATCTAGTCGAAGTGGCGCCTCCACACTACTGGCACCATGGGCCATTGCTCTGTTGTTGCAGAACACAAATCGCCACTCAATATCGGTCATGACACCTCACCACCGCGAGTTATGAGCTGTTACCACAGCCATCCGTCGCCGTCGTGAGTTCACAGCATGGGACGCCATTGGCCTGCAGTTATCGCATTCTGCACCTTGCTATTGCCCGCACCCACAGTGCCGCCTGCTGCACACACCACGGCAACACCACCGACCTGGCGCCGCCAGCTCCATTCGCGCATAGAGCATCGCCTCCGCTGCTAGACCCTGCGGCTCCCACGTAAAGCATCAAAACCTGTGCTTTCCCACGACGACAAGGGCACCTGTGCAGCTCTCCTGGGCCCGTGACACTCCCGCAGAGAACACCCATGCCACTCCTCGCCCATGCCCTTCTCAATTGGTCCCGTGACCACACAGTTCCTAGTCAGAACAACATCAGCATTGCCATCGAGCTCCTGCCTCTTGCTTGGCACAGTGCCATCGACTGAGCTGTCCCACAACATAATCGAGCGAAGCCTGCCCCCACACCCTCCTTAGCTACATCTGCGCCGTCACCTCCGACCACAGGCGCTTTAGGGTTTGGTAGGATAGGGATAGGGAGCAGTGAATGGATGAGCGGCTGCCCGTCGGCCGGATGTCCCTTGGATGGCAGTGTCATTTTACGGATGAAAGTTGAACCTAGTGTCAAGTAAGGGAGGATGAACTTTTAAGGGCCATAGAAAGAAGCCCTCATTTAATCATTTTACCAGTGTCAAATAAGGAAATTTCTCGACTACACTTTACATACCATACTAGCATTACAGTCTCTAATTCTATTTTAAGACAGCACTCCAGCCAGTGAGCACTGGCATGAAGTCAACTACTCTGAAAAATTACCAAAGTATATGTAGTTCCTCAAAAAGCATTCTCAAGAATAGCCTGCTTATTATTTCTCATCAACTTGAGATAACATGCCTTCCTATCCTAGATATTGTTGCTGAGGACTCACTGCTGTTCTAATGACCCCTAGTGGTCTTGGACCGATCTCACAGCTAAGAATAGCCAGCTCCAAGCCTTGCAAATAGGGCCATAGTAAGCTCGATGGGGTTGGCAGTCACTTTCGTTAGAATGGCTCCATAGTCAAGGTTTGCCTAGAGGAAGGTACGGTGGTTGGCTGTCATAACAAGTTGTAGAGATTAATTAAGAGATCAGTTACCTTCCAACAGAACAGCCTCTGTTCCTACAGATAGGAAAAGGGGTAGTGCAGGCCTGCTGAGACTTTCAGAAGAGCCTTTGATCATCTGCCTAAATCCTCTAATACAATTATACAGCAGACAACTACTGAAAAAGCTGCTCTAGCTAGGAAGCTAACAAGGTACTTCATAATCTCTGTATTCAGATTCTAATGTCTCTACGAAAAACGATAGCTTCAAGAGAAAGATAATGAACCTAATCATGCTTAGTCGCTTACACCCTCTCTCTCTCTCTCTCTCTCCCTCCCTCCTCCAACCCCTCTGGGCCCTGGTAAGACTGGGCAGTAACATTGGGTGACAGGTTCTATTGGTGCAGAGTTCCTGACAACACTATCTAGCTGTTCCTAAGAGTGCTAGAACATAAAATTGTTCAAAACAGTATCAAGCAATGAAAAAAATCACAAGTCATGCGAAAAAACTATCTAGTTGGCAGTTAAGGAAGAAACGTGTGCAATACTAAGGTGCCAAACAGAATTAAACTACTCCCTCCATCCCAAATTGTAAGACGTTTGACTTTTTTGGCCCCAAGTTTGACCACTCGTCTTATTCAAAAATTTTGTGCAAATATAGTCAAATTTAAGTCATTCTTGAAGAATTTTTATTAATAAACCAAACCACGACGAAAGAAGTGATATTTTACACAAATTTTTGAATAAGACGAGTGGTCAAACTTGGTGTCAAAAAAGTCAAACGTCTTACAATTTGGGATGGATTGAGTAGAAGATATCTGATGCAAAACTCCCACATTAAAATCATTCGCTAGACTCCATTCCAGCTCCTTAATTGCATTACCTTTTCTCCCAAATGGGTTTCTACAATCATCGCATTTACAGTTGATGGAGCATCCTGCCCCTCCCTTCAAATTAAAAAAAAAAAACATGTTTCCTTAATCACAAACTGTCATAATGAAAATGAAAATTAATGGGACAAGGCTGAATATGGAACCTGGTAGCAGTCACAGTACTTTTTAAGGCAGCCTGACTTCTTGCAGGTGCATTTTCTTCTAATAAGATCCATAGGGGACCTTATGACTTGTTCCTGAAGCCAATAAATAGCAGGATCACCAAAAACAAAATGAAAGAAAGAGTATAAAAAGATATAGATAAGGTGATGTAAGAAGAAATTCATACCACTATGTCTTGACCAGCTTCTGATGTTTGGACAGGTTTCAGAGGTAAAACCGGTGCAGTCCGTGGAGCAACTTGCAGTGGTTGCTTGTTTTCACAAGGTTCGCATCCACATGACTCAGTACAACGTGACCCAGAAGCAAAGCACACACAATAACTGTTACAGAATAACACAGATAATGATTATACACAAAAGAGAACTTAAATTAGCAAGAAAAAACAAAAAGCAAGGCACACAAACACATGGTCAGGTGTGGAGGTTACATGCCAGTGCATAGGCAATGGCATGCACTAAGCGTCCACAGGACCACAGGTGTGTGCATAAACCAGCCCGATTTACTTAGCACAGTGTTTTCAACACAGCAGACTAATCGCGATTACTCCATGATTCATAAACATATTGGTAACTGGATGTGATCAGGTATATTGACTTTGGTTAGCATAGACAACCAGTAGGCTAATATTAGTCACAATTAGTTTGCCAAGTCTGGGCGATTGACTTGCAGCCAGTAGCATGAGCTTGGCAATTCTGGCCCAACAGTATATGAGCCCATTAGAAATCAATACACACATATAACATTTGCAGCTCTGTTTTTTTACCTAACTCGAATCTATTTGTTCTCTGCAGTCTCTATTCCATGCTCTGCAAGATGTTAATGCCCTCAACATGAGTTAATAGGGTTTACACAATCAGGTACAGCCAACAAACTAGGTAGTAGGCAGCATGAGCCAACAGGACAACTTGGTCGACTAGCCAACGGACTAATCATGCATGTGTAGTTGACTAGTTGGTAGTGGTGCAGTGCCCAGGCAAGTCCACCTGACTTTATAACACTTGAAAACATTGGTTCAGCATTCACCTTTATTGCAATAATGACATGTATGTTAAACCCTCATCGGCAAACTCAGCTCTCTCCACAGGATGAGTGGTACACAGCATTACATCCAAATACACCAGAAAATGCAGCATGCTCTTCTTCCACTGTGCAACCACACAGTGGGATATAATAAAACGAGAAGCATTGCTACACTTAGAACTAAAACAATGGAACCAGCTTCTTCTCATTAATCTATATCGAATTATGAACTGGACTACTGGAGTTAGTGGAGAGCTCAAGATACTAAATAAAACCGCAGCATTATGCTACTAGGCAGTGTGAGATTGACGAAACAAAAATTAGCACCGTGCATTTGAAACATATAAGACTAATCAGATCTAAACCTGCCTAAAACAATACTGAATTCGTCAGCGACAGCAAACCAGATCAGCAGCGCATAAAAAATGGTAAAGACATCCTAGGCGCACACTGAGGACGACATGTTGTACTGAAAGAAAAAGCTCGTTTTTTTTTTCTCTAGCCATACCTCATCACTTCATCAGTCATCCCACGGTGAAACATATACTGCTGGGGCGAACGAAACAATGGAGAAGGCTGCAAGCCCGGTGTGGGGGTGAAAGAGGGGAACTTACAGCTTCATGCACCTGGACTTCTTGCAGCTGCAGGTCTTGCACCCGTCCCCGTCCTCCGCCTTCCTCCTGATTCACCCAGCAAACAGAAGAAAAACAGAGTTGCGAAGGGAGAGAAAAAAATGTTAGCAGGAGCGAATCGCACGCAACGAACCAAAAGAGGAAACCGGAAACTTTGCAGAAAAGGGGAAAGCGCACGGACCTCCTCTTCCTGTCGGAGTTGCCGTTGGCCTCCGCCGGCGCCGGCGCCGGCGCCGGCGCTGGAGCCGGTGGCGAGACGGCCGCGGAGGCGGTGGGAGCGGCAGCCTCGGCGGCGGGGGTCGGGGGCAGGACCGGGGCGGGAGGTGGCGGGGGCGGAGGAGGAGGAGGCGGAGCAGGAGGAGGCGGGGAGAGGCGCGCGTCGTCGGGCTCCGATCCGGCGGGCTCCGGCAGCGGGAGATTCGGCGCCCCCACCTCCGCCTCCATCGGATCGGGCGCCGCCGCCGCCGCCGCAGCTGGCGGCGCCCCGATCGGCGGCTCGGGCGGCGTGGTGGGGCTCGCCGTGGCGACGAAGCGAAGGCGAGCGCGTGAGGGGGTGCGAGGTGCGGTCGGAAGGGGAGAGGGAGGGCACGAGGGAAGGAAAGCCAACGGGTGAAATGGAATGGGGGTTAGGGGTGCTTTGAGATTCGCGCTCGCTGCTGGGACGGCTGTGATCGGCTGTTTCCTCCTTGGATCCGGTTTGGTTCCGTTTCGACCTGGGCCTGGCCTTCTGCTGTCACAAAACGTGATTTAGCACACACGCAGCATAAAGCCGCAGCCTTTTTTTTTGGTTTGGCAGGCTGTGATTGGTAGTGGAGTGATTAAATACTCTAAATTAATGTCGTTTTTTTGTTTTCTAGACACATAGCCTTTTATCTGTGCATCTAAACATATACTATATCTAGATTCATAACTTCTGTTGCGTATTTAGAAAAGTCAAAATGACTTATAGTTTGGAACGGATGGAGTAGTAAATTACTAGTAGCTGAAATTCTGATAGATTAGTAGCAGCTCAAATAATGAATGAATTTGTGTGTGCACACATAAATTCCCACGAATCCAAATGTTAAATGAATACGAACATGGATAGTCGAAATTGATATTCCAAATCCTATGCTCCAGATGAATCAGTAGCAGCTCGAATAATAATTGGAGGGTTTTTTTTTTGGTGTGTACATATAAATCCAAATCCAAGAATGAAATGAATACGAGTATGGATAGCCAAAGTGGATACTGGCGTACTCATTGCTCGGGATACGGTGTTTTACAGCTATGTTGTCTGGTGCACTTGCTTGGCACGCTCTCTCTTCTACTGCTTCATGCTACATCTACATCATCTTTTGTCCTTATAAAAAACATCAAGGAAGCATTATTAGTATGGATATCTTTTGTCCTTATAAAAAAACATCATTTTTGTCTTTTGTGCAAAAATATCACTTAGTTGAAGTTAAAAGATATGATAGTAACTATAGTGACGTCTAAGAGGTGGGAAAAGATTGCCTTGAGCTACAAGTTATAAATGATTTGTATCCGAGAAGTGTTCTTTAAAAAAGTACTGTGTATGACATAAGTGATAAGTGGGATCAAGGAAGCATTATTAGTCTCAAAATCTTTGCTTGCTCAGAATAGGGATGGACTTCATGGGATACTCTGCGTTACGGGATCTACCATTTCCTCATGACCGAGGCTAGCAATTTGACATGTCCGAAACTCCGAATAGTCTTCATCATGTACCATTTCCTTGTGACCGAGGCTAGCAATTTGACATGTTTATCATGCATATTCTAGCCAAAACAAAACAAACAACAAAAACACAAAAACAAGGCAAAAGAACACATTTGGCATGTTTCTTTGGTTGATTTTGACTGAAATAATGTTTCGGTTAGTCTTTGATTTGTTATGAGAGGAAAACACTATTAACTAACCGATAAAACCGCGATTGAAACCAACGAGCGAACAGACTGATGGCTCATCCTGGGCTCGTGATCTTGCATGCAAATTTCCGCCGAGGGGCATGTCGTTATCGATGAGTGACGTTGGCCATGGATACTATCGCGTTCGGGCATGCCGTCCTACGGACAGCGCCAATCCACCAACAAGTTGCCAAGGAACTGGGTCGAGGCTTTGATGTGATTTTTTGGTCATTTTATTAGGAGCATGGTGATACATGGGCCATGTTTAATTCCCACCAAACACCTGAAAAATACACTATGTAAAAAGAAGGTTCTCCATCATATCAAACTTGCGGTATATGCATGGAGTACTAAATGTAGATGAAATCAAAAACTAATTGCGCAGGTTTAGTTGTCTCTTTACTGAGTCGAATCTTTTGAGCCTAATTAGTCAATGTTTTAGACAATAATTCATAAATACAAACGAAACATTATAGTAACACATTAATTATTTGACCACTTCTAAATCCAGGAACTAAACAAAGCCATAGAAGGACAAGTGTTTCAGCCTTGCCTCTGACCTGACAAGTGACAAGGCTGGGGCTGGACCGAGACGAAGGGAGGTGCTGGGTCCAAGCCGCCAATAGGAAGGTTGGTGGATGTACATTGATTTTTTTTGGACTTTTCTACTATTCAAAACCTGTTCTGAACGTGCAGTCGGGCCTCGTTTAGATCACCTCCAAATTCTAAATTTTTTCATTTTCTTCATCATATTAATTTTTGAACGCATACATGGAGCATTAAATGTAGGTAAAAAAAATAACTAATTGTACAATTTAGTTGTAAATCACGAGACAAATCTTTTAAACCTAGTTAGTCCATGATCAGACAAAGTTTATCAAATACAAACGAAACGTGCTACAGTATCCAGATTACAAAAATTTGCGATCTAAACGAGGCCTCGGTTGCTTCTTGTAATCTCTTTTTTTTTCCCTCTCAATGAAACACATGCTCAGGCACGTTCCTGAAGCCTGATAAAAAATGTAAAAATAGTTTGACCTTAGATAAATAAGTCTTGCAGTTCAACCTCACATAAATAAAGTCTTAACAGTTCTGTCATCAGATACATACAAGTTCTACATTTTGATCCCAGATAATGAACATAAATTATACAGACATACAGCCACAGGTAACACAACGACGACGTCCTTTGAGCTAAAACATAATTTACCAACAAACCAAATGCCACCGGTGATTCTGGGAGGTAGAATCTTGCCATCACACAGTGGATTATTATAGCAGTACATAAATAATCGTCAATCAAGAGAAATAGAAATGATGAAAGGAAGCTCGCTTGTCCATCGCTATCTGATGGTATGATAGAAACAATTCTGGTACAGTCGGCGGGTGGGTGATCTCGTGAACCAACAGGAAAAGCCTGTACAGGAAGAGACATATTAGTTGAGTTGAGACAGGGAAGAGGATTAACATCTCAACAAGAAGCAACGGTAATAACAGAAAAATAGAGAGGCAAAGAAGTTCACCACGAGGGACAAAAGATGATAAATTCAAGGCGCTGGTGACTTGGCCTTGGTATCCTCGTTGTTTACATCACCACCAAGGGAAGGGAAAGAAGGGATGGACTTGAGAATCAGCTTCCTGCCACTCATACAGATTGGAGATAGTCGAGTACCCATTCGTGGGGGAGAGATTCGCTTCTTATTTGGTGACACGACTTTAACAGAAGTTTGAGGAGATGAATTTCCCTTCAGGATATCTGATGTGCTATCGCCAAGGACCATTTCCGCGTAGTTTTCGAATGGGGAGAGCACAATGTCGGTCTTTGGAGGAGCTTGTAAGTTGCACAACCGAGAAGGATGTCCAGTGAGTTTTGTTGAAGATCGTGGTTTTTTGGAGCTTTTCTTGGAGCTTGGGGGTGGAAGACAAGCCAAGGGTCTGGGAAGAGCAAAATGCATTAGAATTCAGTATATTACATAGAAGGCAGGATTCGCAGTAACAGATGTGTATTGTGCAAACATATGACATACAAACCTGCACTCCACCATGGAAGGTGTGGTCAGTACATTCTCAGCAGGAGCAGCATCAGTAGTTTGGTAGATGACAAGCTGTTTATCGATTTCACTTTTTTCTTCTTTCACACAAACATTCTTTTCTTCCAATCCCTGCTTAGGTTCCTCTATGCCTAACACAGCAGCCCCTTGAATCAGGTTTTAAAATAAAAATACTTTAGAGAAATAGTAGCTTTTTATGGATAGCAGAATATAGGACATGGTTAGTTGGTTACTGAGACAAATTGAAATAGCTAAGGTAGCCATAGTATATTACTTCATATAGTAACCAAGATCTAGTATTGTATTGTATAGGGCACCCTTTCAGAATGGTATAGCTAAAAGTAAGCAGCTTGCTTTTAAATAAACCAAACATCATACAGCACAAGCTAATCTTAGGAAAGTTTTACCAAGAAGCAGAACTAAATTATTTTGTTGAAGAGACAAAGACCCCAACTCCAAACTGAAGCAGCATAACCAGACTACTGATGCCAATGGTCACCGTGGTGATTGAGGAGACAAACAAATTAAAGAGTACTCCAAATTAAATCAGGTAGCAAGAGATATAACTCCAATATGTGCAAAGGGTTTTTTTTTTTTGCTTTTCTTAATCGGTAAGTCGGTAACCAATTAACAGAGAGGATATATGGTATTACATTTTCAAGTTGAAAGGTCAAACATGAGGTCCTAAAGAACTCAATGAGTCCAGGTTTCATGTGAAGCTATAACTAGTAGCACGATTGATTAGAATCATCTCTTAGCTGCTTTTGTAACTTGTATATCGAATAAGACTGCAAGGATGCAACTATGATCTTAGAGCATGCATGTTGCTGTTGCAGTTGTTTAAAACAGAAGTTTATGAAAATGGATTTGACTCACCCTCCCGTTTTCCAAAAGCATTCTTACAGCCCTCGCATCTGCAACTTATGGAGCATCCCACGCCACCCTTGATGAAGAGTAAAGATAAGATGCATACAAAGGGATTACGAAGAAAAAAAAGAGAGCACTAAATCAATGTAGGAGTTGAAACCTGAAAACATTCACAGTATTTTTTTAGACACGACGACTTCTTGCAATTGCATCCTCTTTTGTGACGAGCTGAAGCAGGAGTTTTATTGGAGAAGTCCTACAATATTGAAGATAATGATATTAGCAACAGACAAGACTAAAGGAAGTGCTCAAGTACAATAAGTTAGTGTCTCTTACCCCTAATTCCAGACCAGGCTCAGATGTATGAATTACTTTTGGAGCAAATGCTAATGGATTGCGAGATTCAATCTGTTGCCGTGTAGATAGAACTGTTTCCGTATGACTCTGGTTGTTCAGATAGCCGATACACGAATAAGGCTCAGAACAATAGACTCCAGCGACAAAACACTCACAGTAACTGCATGACATTAAGCAAAAAATTATCATGTAACAGAAACCAGACAATCTATCAGTATAAAGACAGTTTGCCAGGAACAGAACACAGATCCCTTCTCCCTTCAAAAGAGTCAGAGGATTGAAACTAATTCAGGAAAGGGTAAACATTCATTGGAGAAGGATCAGACACTCAGACCAGACAAAATATCAGTTTGAAGACAGAATTTGGAAGGAATAGCATGGAAAGAACATGGGTAACTCTTGAAAAGGGTCAATGTTTTGAACCTAGTTCAGAAAATGGTGAATATCCATTAGAGAGGTCAGATGGATGGCAATGACTTCAAGTAGAATGGCAAGTGAAGGAGTGCATCATTTAGGGAGGGATAAATCTAGAACAGCTAGCCAAAAGAAATTAGCATGGCATGGATTTTAACGACTGGGACTTTTTTTATTAAATAAGGTAAGATGCCATTGTTTTTTGTAGGAATTATGTGACTTGTCCTATAAACAATCAATCTCAAATAAGGAAATATATTTACTGAAAATAAATATCACAACTAAGTCATTATTATCTGTGATAAAGGGATTAAACCAACCAAGAATAGAATCCATGATGAACGCTAATGAGCATAATAATGTTATTCATGAATACAGGAATAAACAAGGTAACCAGGTATAGAGATGACTGTAAATCGAAACTTGAACACCTCGCAACAACTTGATTAGGATTGATAGAACTATTAACTGAATGTTGTTACTAGCCTACCTCAACTTGCTTGTGACTAGAAGACTATTATACTTGTTATTTAACATTCTGCCCAAAACTGAAAAGCACTTAAACAGTATAGTGGCAGACACACCTACATGGCTATACATCTTAGTCAAGGAAAAACATGAATGGATAAATGATTAATCATTTAATCCTAACCAGAGTTACTCATAAGTCATAAACAACAGCACCTTTTTCATACAATGATACCTAAAATGAACCAAATATTCAAACTTACAGTTTCAGGCATTTTGACTTCTTACAACTACAACGCTTGCATGAAGTGTCATCACCATTATCAAACTTCTGCCTGGAAAATACTATTGCATTTCATGATTTTTCCAATGAAATAGTGCTATTTGACCTAAAATAATAGCCAAAGACATAGTACCTTTTCTTCTTGGGACTACCCTGACTAGAAGCTTCGGCGGTTGCAACATCAGTTGTTTGATTGAAATCATCATTTATAATGATTTGCTCAGAAGGTACTGGAGAAGATCCAGAAGGACCTATCAAGTTACTCAATTCATTTATAGTAGACTGAATATCTATTTTCTCTTTAGGTATTGCAGCAAGGGCATTCAAGTGCAAGCCAATACCAGGCAATGCATGTGGAGGGGTTCTTAGAGGCTTTGAGTTGTCACCAGAAATAGTTTTGCATTTGGGGGTAGTTGAATTTACAGGATGATGATCTGAAGCTTTGTCTACACCTTTATTACTAACCCCAGCCTTTTCGTTGAAAAGGCTGCGCCTACGCATGCCACGTAAATGCTGTGGCAAGGCCTGAAACAGCAGAAAACATGTCCTTTCATAAGAAAAAAAAGCATTGATAGTTCAGCCAAATTAGCACAGCCTATACAAAACTAGATTTACAGGAAAGAAAATGCTATAAAGTAAAGAGAGCTGAATACTGATGGGTGATGGCAATCTTGTTAACACGTGGACACAAGATTATGCAATTTAGAGCAATACAGTGCACAAGGCACATGAATGGAAAACTGCTAATAAACATGGGCTTGTTAAATCCATTCTCGTACATATAGTATCCAAGCTAATATTAATTTGTATGTACAGATATATTGCACTAGTCTTCAAATTAGATCAGGCCAATTACCACTTAGTCACAAAGCATTAGTAAAGCCAATATACAAAACTTTTAAATGGTAACACAAAGCATACATACATTTTGCTCAGTAGGCATGTGATCTTTTGTCTCATTGAGCTTGTTACATGGCATCAACTGACTTTGCAAAGCACCAGGGAGTGTTTGGGGAGTATAAGCTACTGCAGCCCCTTCAACTGCCCCAGTCCAGTACAGATGGGGTTCATGCACAGAATTTTGGGTGCAATATCCACTTGACTGATCATCCAAAAAGGATTCACAAGAGTAGGGATCATCAGACTTTTGTGTATCATTCACTGGTTGTGTTTCTGTTCCAGATGTTACAGCTAAAGTCAGCATATCACTACTTGATTGGTGTGTAATCATGTAATCCCCATTATATGCTGCAGGTTCATCATTGTTTTGTTCAGATAGCTGGTTTTCGTGAACAACTATCCCAGAATGTGATGAATCCATTTTGTCTAGGCCACTCTCATCAAGGTTCATACCTTCTAGGCCTGTGCACTCCTGGGACATGGTAAGGTCTGCTTTACCATCAGCGCATTGATCCTTATTGCTTTCCATACTGCCAGCAGCATCCTGTATGGATTGAATCAATTGGCCTGTAGGGTTTGATGTATGATCTGAAGAATCAATAGATGCCTCGTTTAGTTGACAAGTGATATTGCAATTCTCTGGCACAATGTCTTTGCATCTGATCATTCTAAAAGAGCCTGAGGGACATATTCGAGTCCTGATACTGCTAGGTGAGTGCAATTCTTGAGGAAGCTGAACAGATTCATCCCTACCAGCATGAAATACAAACTGTAAGGCAGAGCCAAGACAGATACATAAAAGTCTGACATTAGCTAGAAGGCATAGGGAAAAAGTGAAAATAACCTGATAAAAAATTTAGTTTCCTTTGCTGGATTAACATGTGGTGAGGCAAAGATCGAAGAAACAGGCGCCAAATCTGATGACTTGAATAGCTGCACATTATGTGCTGTGTCTAAAGGTTTAGGCGGTGGTATAGGAGAGAGATTGTTGATGAAATTGAAGACAGGAGAATCCTGCAAGCAGTAAAATCAAATTAGAAAAGTAAAGCCACAGGTCTTTATTTCATCACTAAATATGAAAGCGAGCTTAGTGCCCTGATGTCAATGAATTGAGGATTGGCCAAATCCAAACCATGACCCTTTTTTTAGCAAATAGAGATTACCACAATCTGCTGTAAGAAGGAAGTCTGCTAAACCCCGTAACGTACACCAACTTTTGCCCCAACCCACTTAAGAGAACAAAAACACATGCAGGCACAATAAGACCAGCATATCCAAAGTAATGCACGGAGTTGCATGCATTAAATAGGATACACGTTTATCTATTACGAGTGCTTCATGAATACTTGAATTGTGATGACAATTAATTAAGATAGTTAAGTGCCTCTGCTGATTGGAAAGCAGTCTTGCAAGGAACCCCGAGATGCATTGAAAGGCCTAGAATGATGAGCTAAACAAATGTAGAAGTGCTGAGAAATATAATACTTGCACAAGGAAATGAAGTGAGGGGTTTGATACTAGGACGTCCTAATTGCTGAGAAAGTCTTTCCATGACAAAGCAATGTGCATGATCAGACACTCCTATCCAAGCTACACGCAGGAGTTCGTCAGCCAAAGGCACAAACAACCTCAGACTCCGAAGAAGAACTAGCATTTTCCATGGACAGAAGACCACCAAACGTATCAAACTAGCAGGCAACACTGAGATTTGCCGATCTAAGCGCTAACGTTGGAGACCCAAAGGTAGAATCCCTCCATTTCCGAACAATGCGCACATCAGAGCTTGTCAAATCTCGTAGGAAAGACATAACAATCAAAACTGACAGGCGCCGCCCGAGAACTCACAGAATCAGCAAGCCAATTGATCCATCCAGTAGAAATGATTCATTCCAGATGGTTGAGTAAGGCTAGGCCCCCAAATGCCCCCCTCTCAAACCAAACCCCCCCACCCACCCACACACACACACGCGCGCGCGCGCGCGCACACACACACACACACACACAGAGAACCCCCTGAAGACTGAAGACCTCGAATCCAAGTCCAACATCGGGGAAAACCGCGACAGGGTGCGTCGATCAGAACCCTAATCCCCCACCCACCCGCCGAAATGCGCCCTCCCAGTCCCCCAAAACAAATCACCGAAAAGTCAAGCAAATGCGGCGCAGCAAATCGCATCGGCCGCACAGCCGCCCGCCGACCTACCGACCAATCCAATCCTAATACAGGCACGGCCGCCTACCCACGAACAGCCCGCTTCCTCGCCCCTAAAATCCCTAGGAAAAATGGCCCCCAAACCCCACATCAGAACATGGAAAATCGGTGGGGAACAAGCATCAGCGGGGGCGGGCGGGCCCCGGGCCGCGAGCGAGATGGCGGACCTCGAAACCGGCGGCGGCGGAGCGGGGCCTATCCGGCGTGTCCATCTGGTCCGGCGACCCCGCGGTGGGCCTCCCGCATCTGCGTCCCCTTCCCCGCCGCCTCCTCCTGCTACTGACGAGTGAGTGATGAGCCCCCAGCACCACCAGCACTACTACTACCAGTCCTAATACTAGTAAATTTTACTGGGCCTGATGCCTGACGAGGGGTTTCGTGTTATACTACTGCTGCGAGCCTGCGACTGCGTCCCACACCCCAGCGCTCCGGCCGCGTGCGGTCGGCTCGGGTCGGGTGCGGCCGTGCTTTTCAAGGAGGCGACCATGGGCGGGAACGGGAACCCCAGGTTTTCGGCGGTGGGGGCGAGCTGTCAGTGGGGACGGGCGCCTGGGCCATGGGCCGCCAGCGCCGCAGCCGCAGCCGCAGCCGCAGCCAGCAGGCCAGTTTCGGATTGGGCCTTCCATGTGGGAACGGGAGAAGGAAAAAGATTTTGTCCCTGTTTTTTTTTTTTTTGATGATTGGGTGAGTTGAGTAGGACATAAACTGCGGATTTGAGATTCACCTGGCCGATTTACGAGGCCAGTCTGGAACCCTTTTTTCCTACCTTTTGCGTAGGCTACGGAGATGCAGGGGATTCAGGGGTGGATTGAATTGGGTGCCCATATTTGGAAGAATGTTGTTGTTTGGGAGGCCGTACGTGGAAAAGGGAAACAAAGGGCCAAAAATTGTTGGAGTGGGCTTAGCTGTGTCTTTCCATTTTATGATAACATTTATTTCATCTTTGATCAACATTAATTAACAGCTGCAGGTGTTTTTACCTAATACTCAATCCATCTCAAATTGTAAGACGTTTGACTTTTTTGACACCAAGTTTGACCACTCATCTTATTCAAAAATTTGTGTAAAATATCATTTCTTTCATCGTGGTTTGGTTTATTAATAAAAATTCTTCAAGAATGACTTAAATTTAACTATATTTGGACAAATTTTTTGAATAAAACGAGTGGTCAAACTTGGGGCCAAAAAAGTCAAACGTCTTACAATTTGGGATGGAGGGAGTATTATGCACTAATCATTGATTGATGGCATAGTTTGGTAGATGGTTATGGATGAGTGGCATGGAACTTGGTAGGTGTCATTATGCATTCCCCGGAAAGGTGAACGCTAGCTAGACCTCGTGTAATCTCTCCCTGGCATCGTGCCCGTATTTTGTTAATGGTTTGTTAGGAGCCCGATGGATCCATGTATATTTTCCTAAACGAGTTGATTTGCATCATCGAAAAAAGGAACAGCAATATCAACAACATCATCTTATCTTCCTCTCGCATCCACTTTATCGCTCTTATTGGCCACCTCCCTTCTTCTCGTTCTCGATCTACCCTGTTTGTCATCATCCCATGGCCTCCAGTGCCACATTCAGGCAGCGCCCCTTATCCATTGCCTCCTTCTACCTTTTGCGATCATTGGCGATTTATACTGCAATTCACCCACACGGTTGTTGCTCCTCGCGTGCCTCTCACCTAACCACTTTAGTGAGCTACCCACACACCGATTCTTTCAATCTACTCCCTCGATTCCAAACTCTTATAATTTAAAACATGGGGAGTACTATGCTCCACAATCAAAGTGGTTAGTGCCTCTGCTAACCATTGCCAATACCCTATCACCATTGGCTATGTTGGCCTGATGACATCTGTGGCCATCTGCCCCTCTCCCTCTCCCACGCCTGAAATTCTTAATTCTGAACGTCAATGCTAATTCTGACCCTAAATATCGCGAAACATCACAAAAGGAGGTTCTCATTCTTACTTGCTACTACGTTGCAAATTTTTACACTGTTCATTGGACTCCTTTCTCCGTTTCAAATCATAGCAACTTTCCCTTTGGACAAGACTCCTTTCTCCGTTTCAAATCATAGCAACTTTCCCTTTGGACAAGTAATCGATTTCTAAATCCAGAAGGTTCTCATATTAGGATGAAACCAAAAGTTTTCTTTTCTTATTTTTTCTTTTGTTTTTGAGAATCATAGTACCGATGTAGACTTAGCCGCTAGATCTTGCATCTCACTGCTACTACTAAAAAAGTAACAGCCTTAAATCCTAAAAAATATATCCCTAGCATGTCTTTATCATTGAGGAAACAACACCGTTAAATTCTAACGTAAATAAATCTAAAAAAATACGAAAGTCTATAACTTAAACTGAGATGGTATGTCCACCACAAGTAGCCTAACCCACTAAGCTTCTTCTCCTTTTGCAAACACCCTACCGAATAATAATAAATAAGTAGGCAGCTATAAAAGAAAATTAGTTAGCAAATATTGATTTCTGCTAGTTCATGCCAAAAAATTCCTTCTATTAATCGATTTATTTATACAATTATACCGTCCGAGTCACACCCACGAGTGCTGCTGCTCATCCCATCATCCGCTCCGACACGCTCGCGCAGTCGCGCTGGAGAGAGCGGGCAAGGGAGAGACGTCGCGGACTCGTCCGACAGGTCACCGCCCTTGACTGTCTTCGAAAGCTTAGCCATATGGCTACCAAAACCCCAACTGAATATTGGATGATACTATTTTGGTCTCTAATACCTATACGTGAGATATGTGAGATGTATTTTGGGTTATAGCAGACTCACAGTTCAAATATAAATATTCTCTCTTCTAAAAACTTATTTATAGAAAATGTTCTCTTTTAAATTATATTATTGGAAAAAAAATATTGAACTCTTTATTTGCAACGCTGTCAAATGTGAAATGGGTGCTGTAGTTGGACTGACGACGCCCATCTCTGCGTCGCGAATTATTTCCCCGACCCGTCGACGCGCCACTCCGCCTTGCTCACCACTGCTCTCCAAGCCTCCACCAGCCCAACCACCGCCACTGCGTGATGGCCTCCCGCCTCCTCCACCTCCACCTGCGCCGCCGCGGGCGCGGGCGCGGGCGCGGGCGCGGCGGGAGCCCGGCGGGCAGCCCCGTGCCCGCGCTGCCCCTCCTCGCCGCGCGGCTCCTCTCCTCCTCGTCCCCTACACCCGCCGCAGCTGGGCCCTCGTCCTCGGCAGCGGGCGGCGGCGGGGGCATCGAGAAGGTGCTGGTGGCGAACCGGGGCGAGATCGCGTGCCGGGTCATACGCACCGCGCGCCGCCTCGGGGTCGCCACCGTCGCCGTGTACAGCGACGCCGACCGCGGCGCGCTGCACGTGCGCGCCGCCGACGAGGCCGTCAGGATCGGCCCGCCGCCCGCGCGCGAGAGCTACCTCAACGCCGGGGCCATCATCGACGCCGCGCTCCGCACCGGCGCCCAGGTCCGTGTACCAACAACCCCTGCCGCTCGTCGCTGTCTCGCTCATTATTTCCCCTAGCTTGCCTGCGTCTTGAGCCGCGTGCCCTGCCGTGTCACTCTGTCAAGGTGGGTGAGCTACTGAGCTGTCTCACTAGGCATACTGATTGTCGGTCGTTGCTTGAAATGAGCATCTGATCCCGCGCCACACAATTCCACTGTAGGTGATACAGTACTAGTTAGCGTCTGAACCTCTGTAATCCTGCCACTTCATCAGTCCTCGAGTTGTGTCGAAATAGTGTTGGCTGCTACATCACATTTTCGTGACGATACAAGAACCGTGTCGTAGGGAAATAGTGTGAAAGTGGGAAACAGTACGAAAGTTTTATGAGACATTTTTTTTCTATTTGCTTTGTGCAGGCTATCCACCCAGGATACGGTTTTCTTTCAGAGAGTGCTGATTTTGCGCAGCTCTGTGAAACTGAGGGGCTCAAATTCATTGGACCACCAGCCTCTGCAATCCGAGATATGGGGGACAAGAGGTAAATATCTTGTTGTCTGGTGTGTGCATACAGAGTGTTCTGTTTGGGCTTTTGTTCAGAACGGTGCACCCTAAACATGATTTGTGAAATATAGTGCATCCAAGAGGATCATGGGTGCTGCTGGCGTGCCGCTGGTTCCAGGATACCATGGGGCTGACCAAGACATTGAGCTGTTGAAACTTGAAGCGGATAAAATCGGTTATCCTGTTTTAATCAAGCCCACCCATGGTGGAGGGGGCAAGGTATGCCGAACTGTTTCTCAGATTGTCTCATACAGGAAAAGTGTTTATTCTAATTTCCTATGCGTATAGCTTTATACTGTTCCAGAGAAGCCTGCTCTGTAGTTGCATGACCTATCATATGTGTGTCATGTCTCTAACCTTTTCATCCTATATCCTTTCTTAAGGGGATGAGAATAGTCGAAAGGCCTGACGAATTTGTGGATGCTGTACTGAGCGCTCAACGGGAAGCTGCAGCATCATTTGGTGTAAACACACTATTGATTGAGAAGTATATTACTCAACCAAGACATGTAGAAGTCCAGGTAAGACTCAATTGATTTTGGACCTGCCACAGTCTTTTATATAATTGGAAACCTGCAGTAACTCCCTGTTGTCTTCCCTGGTACTGTATTGATGTTTGAAGGTATTTGGCGACCAACATGGGAATGCAATATACCTCTATGAGAGAGACTGCAGTCTACAAAGAAGGCATCAGAAGATTATCGAGGAAGCTCCAGCTGTAAGGATCTGTTATCCAACAAAACCCTGGAACTTGCTTGAAAACATATTGAGGAAGCTCTAAGGCTTTGCTAGCTGTTTGTGCCCTGAATTTTACTTTGATAGAATAATTGATTCAGTTGTCCTTTTGTATATGGTGCAGCCAAATGTGACAGCTGAGTTTCGGTCTCATATTGGTGGAGCTGCTGTATCTGCCGCAAAGGTGAATGCTTCTGAACATTAGTATGTGTTTAGGAGACAAATTTAATGTTTTCAGTTCGCTATTGTTGGTTAAGTTTTTCTTTTCATTATCTACGATGCCAATTTTTTTCACACCAATATGGAATGACAAATGTGCAAGCAATTTGCTTCACATGAACTTCAGTTCAAAGTTACATGCATTATCTAGTAGCTCATGTTACTATGTTAGTCAACTTTTTGTTGAATAATACTCGACAGTTGCAAGCTACCTAACATTTTCATGCTGTCTGTCACAAAACAAGTAGTTCTTTCTTTGTTTCTCTGTTGATATGTTCTTTAGTAGTTATTCTGTTTAATCCTTCTATTTCACATACAGGGTCACTTATTGGATTATTTGTGTTGAAGGCAGTTGGTTACTACAATGCTGGCACAGTGGAGTTTATTGTGGATACTCTTTCTGGAGAGTTTTATTTCATGGAGATGAATACTCGACTCCAGGTAATATGTCTACGATAATAATCTGATATACTGAGTACCTTGGCTTTGCATGGTACTTCATTGACTCACTTGGTTAAAAGTCAAACACAAAATCATCTTGTGAATCAATCTTGGAAGGTTGAGCACCCAGTGACAGAGATGATTGTTGGTCAAGATCTTGTGGAGTGGCAAATACGTGTTGCGAATGGAGAACGACTGCCATTATCTCAGGAGCAGGTTCCATTAAATGGTAAACCTTAACAATAACTCATTGTCTCACCCAAAAACTTTACTGATGATTTCTGATTGTCATGTTGTCTCTTGGCTACTATAGTTTGTTTGCATCATGAGCAGCATTGTCCATCTTATCTAGTTCTATTTGGGCCATAATTTTGAAGATGCCGCCTTTAATTATTAACTTAACAGTTCACAGTAATGCACTGATTTGATACATTTTTGGACTCGGATTACATCATTTTATTCAACTGTTTTTCATGCAAATGGGCTCTAGCCTGGTTGGTTAGCTCATTTGAGAGAGGGGCTTCCCTTCTGTGCACAGGTGCCATCTCATATGGCAGGGGCCTGAGCCCCTATAGCCCTTTTCTACAAGCTGTTTTTCATACATTAAGAAATGTTCATTACTTGTAGCCAAGTACCCATTAAGAAATTAAGAAATTTATTTATGATTGTGGAAACCGAACTTACATGCTGCTATTGGTTTATGATAAGAAGCTCGAAAATATTTTGTTTTCCTTTGAATTAGGATTATCTATATTTGCATATGAGCCTTCTAAACTTATAACACCACTCAGCCAGATTACTTCTTAACTACTGCTTTGCCTTGATATAGGACATGCATTTGAAGCACGGATATATGCTGAAAATGTTCCAAGAGGGTTTCTCCCTGCAACAGGAACCTTACATCACTACCGACCAGTCCCTTCTGATCCAACAGGTGAAATATGGAGATATCCTATGACCAATTATATTACGAGTTACATTTCAGTATTGCACAATTAACATATTCTTGCTCAGTAAGAGTTGAAACTGGAGTCCAAGAAGGAGATACAGTCAGCATGCATTATGATCCAATGATAGCCAAACTTGTAGTATGGGGTGAAAGTCGCACTGCTGCACTAGTCAAGCTAAAGAACTGTTTATCAAAGTTTCAGGTATAATCAGTTCACCAGAATCAATACATTTCTTTTGACGTATTATCTGTTTATATCTTTTCCCTTCTCTAAGAGGTCATCAGTACAGTGACGCTTTCATGTTGATATAATTTTAGTTGTCTTAAAGAACTTCACAAATGTAGGCATATTATGTGGGAGTCCAATTGTGTAAGATGTCTATGCTAGTTCAGTTCAAGAAGTGTCACTAATCTTTATGCTTTTGCTGATATCCTCGTTCCATAATCCACACAGAAGTTAACGTACCCCCCCTTTTATGGTGGCTACTAAAGTTTTACATGAGGCCTAAGAAGTGACAGTCCGTTGATGATAACCAATATTGATTTTCTATGCATAAATAGTCCATTGAACTTTGGAAGTGTAGTCGTGTAGAAATGCAATCTCAATACTGTCATTTTGATGATAACCTCCCTGACATGCCTTGGTTAATGAATAAACAGATTGCAGGTTTGCCAACCAATGTTGGTTTCCTCCAAGAACTCGCAAGCCATAGTGCCTTTGAAAAAGGCCTAGTTGACACTCATTTCATTGAACGTTATAAAGATGATCTTTTGAGTATTTCTACGAAGTCCTCAGAAGAATATCATGGTGTAGCTGAGCTTGGTGCAATTTTGGCTGCTGCATGCATTTGCAAGAAGTATCACATTACATCTAAAGAATCACAACGTATGTTAGACCTACCATTTGTTTTTTTTTTCAACAAAACATTGCTAATTTGACCTGGTAATGACATATGCTACGTGCTTTTCAGGAGCCAACAACACACTATCTGTATGGTACAATAATCCACCTTTCAGGATGCATCACTTTGCTAGGCATCCCCTGGATCTTGAGTTGGAAGAGAATGATGGATTCAGTGAGAAACTTCTTAAACTGTTCATTACTCATATATCTGATGGAAGCTACTTCATCGAGGTGATTACTATATATAGGCACATACTACTTTTCAAGTTTTCATAGACATTTCCGTATTTGAACTTGAGCTGATGGGATCCATGTCACAAAATGCTTACTGCCTATTAGGCACAAACAAACTTCATATGTTTTATGGTGAATGTAGCAAACCAAATTCATGTGGCCAATCTGATATGTCTTTACATAATTGATAGTCAAAACAAAGAATATTTGACAAAACAACTCATATGGCCTACATATTGAAAGAGAGTATTTCTAGTAAACCCCACTAGAAATCGGTTTTCACTGTTGAGACCAGACACAGGAAAGTATACAAATATGACTGATGTATGTGTCCATTGCATGGCTTCAACCCAGCAGATTAATCAAATGGACTCTAGCAATATAATACGCTTCATATGTCAGTTGATATCTTATTAATTGTATTTCTATCTTGATCAGACAGAAGATGGCACTTCTGGTTTAGATGTCAAAGTTGATCACAAGGGTGACCATGATTTTCGTGTCGATGTTTCTGGTCTGCAAACCGATGTGACTCTAGCATCTTATTCGAAGGTTTACCTGAACTTTGGTCACAGTGAACTGAGGCATACATAATCCGTTATTTCTGTAATTCCTTCACTAAATCCTCACCTCGTTTCTTGCAGGGCAACAGCAAACACATACATGTCTGGCATGGGAAGCATCATCACCATTACAGACAGACTGCAAGAGCTGAGCATGTAGTTGATGATAGCTCCCAACCTAGTCATGCTTCTGAAGGGAAGTCACATCCAAAAGGGAGTGTTCTGGCACCAATGGCTGGTTTGGTTGTGAAAGTTTTGCTTGAAGATGGGGCACAGGTGGAGGCAGGGCAGCCTATCATGGTTATGGAAGCAATGAAGATGGAGGTCTGGATAACTTTTTCATGGTTCTTTTTTCTAAGTTAACGAAAATAATCCTAATTTTTCTCTTTTTACTCTTTTCAGCATGTTGTGAAAGCGCCTCGTGCCGGATATGTAGAGGGCCTGAAGGTTACTGCTGGCCAACAAGTTTTTGACTCCAGTGTCCTTTTCACAATCAAGGTATGTAGTATTTTGTTATAAAAATATCCTGGAATGTTGCAGTTTGCCTTTTTTTTGGTCACAACAAAGCTAGTGCTAAGTTTCATCATCATTAGAGGCAGACCAATAGCAATCGAACTTATTTAAAGGTATTCAACTTAGAAGATTAACTGAAATCAAGGAAAAACGTATAAAAGTCAGTAGGCGACGAAAATTAGAATATTGTGATGTGCTGCATAAGCATCTGCAGCTATGCACCCTCTGTAGCATAGCAGCAGCAAAAAGCATCTTTTGCATTGATTTGCTAACTTTTTAATATATTTTAGCTATCTATAATGGTTTGAAACAATAACGGTGTTCATAGTCATCTCTGGGGAAAGCAAGCAGTAGCAACAATGTTTCACACGGCGTAAAGCCTTACTATTTGTAGCGGAGTTGTTGGTTCAAACGGCCCCACCAAATTGATCGCGGCGTTTTATGTAGAGAGCAGGGCTCCCCCTTCATCTACAAATGTTTCACACGTTCCTTGTGTCAGCTTCTCATGGATGGAATCTATACAATTATATATTATAATATATATGATATGATACGACTACAAAAGTTATGTTTCCTTCGAGTACAGGCCTAGAACTCAGCTGAAATCCAAACGCACCTTTTTCCAATTTTCCAGGACAATGCTGCAAGCTGAGATGGAGCGATCACAGCCCAAGTAGCTGCGCTGCAACTGTATTAAACACTCAACGGATGCCTCAGGCGTTGGCCAACGACGCTGCTGTCTCCTGTCTAGATAGAGAAGCGAAGGAAATAAACAAGCTGGGTTCGTCTGCGGGCAATCCGGCAATGCAAGCAGACGGCTCATGGTGTTCCCAGCTTGATACGAATCCATCATTCGCCGCAATAATTCCATTGCATAGTGTACACGAACATGAAACTGTACCACGTTGAGCAAAGAAATAAGCTTGATACGATGGTCGGTTGATTTGTCTATACGACGGTACATCGCTTCTGCTTAATCGGTTGATTTGTCTGTTTAAACAGCCGGTTTGCCTGTTTAAACTGACAGGATAACACTTATGCTCATCAACTTGGGTTCACAAAGAATGGATTCCAGGTTATAAACATAGAAATAAAAACAGAACAGAGTCTGGTCCGTCTGTTTTCATTGCTATACCCAACCAAATGCCACTCTTGCAACCGCCTAGAACAAATTTTGAGGTGAAGGTCAGCGTCGTGAAGAGATCACCAAGTTCTCGCCGAATATATGCAATGGTTTGTCGGTTAGCGAAAATGATGATAAATATACGAAATGCGCAGTCAGTGAATGGACGGGAAACCAAATGATCATCCACAGTTAAGAAATATAACAGTAATAACCGAACATAGTAGAGTAGAAGGGCCCAACAGCGGCTCACTTGCTGAATCGTAGAGTACATTTATGAGCTCCGAGAATAATGTCAGGATGCAAACGAAATACTGGTTCATGCTCATCCCAGTCTGCTCATGTAAGTCCTGAAACCTACATAGCTATTTCTAAGCTCTCTGAATTCGATGGGACGCAACATGTAAAATCCCGGTGAATTCCATGGTAATTGACTTGCTGCTCCTGTGTAGTTTGCTGTTAATTGGAAACCAATTGATCCCCAGAAATCCTTTGCAAAAGGGCATCCCATAATAACATGGTCTGCCGTTTCCTCCTCATGACCGCAAACTTCACAGATGGCACTGTCGAGCACCTGTACAGGCCATTTTTTTTAGAAGGGCGGCAAGAGCCTTGCCGTATTTTTATTAGACGATAGAAACAAGAAAAAAGGTTTACAAACAAGAACAGCCGACTAGGCCCTGTACTACCACGGTCTCCTGACCGCCCCCTCGACCTGAAAACCACCCAACCCGAAACAAGAAAAAGAAGTTCTCAACTGAGACAAAACCATGAAGACAAAACAGAAGAAAAAAGCATGGCAGAAGTATGGAACAGACACTACGATTGCTAGGACCTCCCATTGTTTCCTGTTGCCAACTGGTACTGCTCTAGTGCTTCCTTGCAAAGAAGAGCGACTTGTCTTGGCTGCATCGATTTGTTTTGAAAAGTTCTTCTGTTGCGCTCTTTCCACACGTTCCACCACAAGTAAATCATTATGCTGTCAAATGCTTTCCTCCGGTCTTTGTCAATCTTGGCGCGACACTTACGCCAGTATGAGTGGATTGAGCCTGTCATGGGCACTATGTCTAGCACTGTTAAACCAAGCCACTGCTTTAGATCAGACCATACTTGTTTTGAGAAAACACAATCCTTGCAAAGATGTGTTGGTGTCTCTGGCTCAGTACCACATAATTTGCATATCGGATCATTCAGCTAGTTTCGCTTGATCAAATTGTTGGCTGTTAAGATTTTTTTATGTAGTAACGTCCAAGCGAAAAATCTGCATTTTAGTTCTGCCTTTGCCTTCCAAATCGGCAGGAGCTTCAACTTGCTGAAAGTTCCTTGGAATTGAATGCTGTACGCACTCTTGGCTGTGTATTCCCCGTCTGCCGTCCATCGCCAACGGATGCTATCTTCCCTGTCCTCCCGAAGCTGCGTTTGCCCTATGGCTACCCACAACTCAACATATTCTCTAATTTCCTGTGCCGTGCTTAATGGGATGATATGGGATATCCAACGATTATCTTGCAAAGCCTTTTCCACCGTTAAATTTTCTACGGACCAAATTTGTTCTGCACAGAATCCTACCTTGCATTAGCAGCCAGAGGAAGAACTGAACACGTTTTGGGGCGTAGCTATGCCAGACAAAACTTGCCTCTGGCCTTGGACTGTGCCATCAGGTGACTTCAGCAGTTTTAGAGTCCTCCTGAATCGAACTTTCTATTTGGTAGGCAGAATGTTCCACTCCTTGAATCAGCGGTTTTCTGGAACTCTGTATCTGCTAGCAGCTGTCGCACCTCCAGAAGTTCAGCCTCCGCCTGCAACGACAGTCTGCTGACAAGGAAGCCCTGATCATCAATTCGATCAACTTTATCTGTGCCACCGAAAGTTTTTTCTGAACGCAGTGACTGTATAGTGCCGGGAAGCGGTCAACAAAAGCTTCTTCAGAAGCCCAGGTTTACCAGAAAGATGTGTGTGCCCCATTGCCAATGTTTACCGTGGTGATCGCCTGGTAAAGGGGACAGTGTCCGAAGCACATCCTAGTGTGGAGTGTGGACCACAGAGATCGCCCTCGAGCGATGCAAGGCTGACATGCTGCCTTGCCGAAGCTGCCCAAGCCGAGTCTTCAGCCACATGCAGGCCATGGATGAGCTTTAGAAGAAGACAGACATTCATCAAGCTTAAATCCTTGATTCCCAGGGCCCCGTGATCACGATTCCAGCAGACCCGTTCCCAAGCCACTAAGCTCTGCGACCCTGTCATAGAGCTCTCTCCAGACCAAAGAAAGGAGCGGCGGTGCTGGTCCATTTGAGAAATGATTCCAGGCAGCAAAGGGAGGGCGCACATAGCGTATATTAACTGTGAATCAAGGACTGCATTCACCATAACCGCTCGAACCATGACATTGAGAAGAGCTGCTTGTCAGCCTGCCAAGTATCTATCTGTTTTGGCAATGCAGGGGGAGAGAAGGCGCGCAAGGGTAGTTTATTAACCGACAGCGGCAGTCCCAGGTATACCTGTGGGAAGTCTTCACGTCTGCATCCGAGGATTGAGATGCATTGTTGAGCTTTGTCATCTTACATATGAATTGGGACTGCTGTTGTCTTGCTATAGTTTATTTGTAGCCCCGTTGCCGCTGCAAAAGAATCGAAGATCATCTTCAAACTCTGAACATCATCAGGCTCACCCCGGACAACAATGAGGGTGTCATCCGCGTACCGGAGCACTGGGCACGGGTGTTCAGGGGAGACAGGGTGCCTAATAGATTCTGAGTTAGCCTTGATTAGTTGTTGTAGGACATATGCCACTGTTAAGAAAATAAACGGTGATAGGTGGGTCCCCCTGCCGAAGACCTCGCTTGCAAGAAACCCAAGGGCCAGGGCAGCCATTAACCAGAACTGCCGATCTTGAGGACTGAAGAAGGTGAAGCATCCAGTCCCGCCACATCTGGTGAAAGCCCCTTGCCTGTAGGCCCATCCAATTGACAGTGTCAAAAGCTTTGGCGACCTTTGGCGAAATCTATCTTGATAGCAATTGAGGGGACTTTCCTCTTATGACAGTGCTGCACTAGTTCCACCGTATGGACAAAGCTCTCTGAAATAGACCTGCCCTGAAGGAACCCTGTCTGATGTCCATCAATGAGCTTCAAGATCACCTTCTGTAACCGAGCAGTCAGTACCTTGGCAATGAGTTTTACTGAGCAGTTCTGAAGACTTATTGGTCTGAATGCATGTCACAGCACCAGATTTCTTCGGGATAAGAAGTTAAGAACCATATAGGCTCGGTTGATCCTTGCCAAGTCAACATTGCCGCTGTGAAAGCTTTGAAGAAGGTCCATAACCTGGGGCTTAACTGTTGATAAGAGAACATGGTCCCGATTAGATCGAACAACACTGAAACATGTGCAGGTCTACTGTAGAAAATGGAAAACAAGACAAGTGCACTTACTTTTGAATTTCATTTTTTTTTCTTCCTTAGCTTTTCACATTTCAGCATCTGCATTTGAAGCTCCTTGGAGCTCAAGGTACACCGACAAGTCTTTGTTAACAACAGCAGTTGCACAATCGGCTGGAGTTTCATTGTTCTCTGTCAGGATCTGAAGAATTTCCAATAAAAGATCAGTGCTTTTGTTCAGGAGCTTTTAGCTAAGGTGGATTTTTTCTTTTCGTAAGTAGGTAGTAGAATATAAATGTTAACAGCTGAAGAAAGCCAAGAAGAAATGTTATTCAGCAAGAACCAGTGGGTAAACTGGTTGTAGATGAGGTAATAAGGGTCCATTTAGGTTTCAGCATAAATTCCAATCCATAAAGGATAAACTGGTTGTAGATGATGAAAGGGGGATGATATCTCTGGAAAATAACACAGATAGTCATATAGAGGTGCAAGGTATAACCTTGAGATGTGATATGGAAGAAAGACACAAGATTGGAGATTGATAACATTGGATAGTGGCAGCACTCTTGGTCTCAGCGAAGTGCGAAAGCAGGATGTCTATAAAAAAGAAGAAAATATCAATAAGATATCACTCCGTTTTGCAAAATCAGACCGTCTATAAAAAAGAATAAAATATCAATAAGATATTATTCCATTTTGCAAAAGCAGGCCGAAGGAGAATCAACCAAGCAAATACTAACACAAAAGAAAACAGATGGTTATACCTTTCATTTGAATCTGTTGGTGGCTTCGGAGACCTTATTCTGTTCA